AGACCTTTTTTCTCAGTTATATATTGTATCTAAGTGCTACTGTTTCCCCAGTGCTATTTTCTGCCTGGATTTGCATATATTTGATTTTGCACATCATACTGGAATCGCCTGCAAGTTGTTCTGGTAGCCCTCAGCTACACAATATCCATGATTTCTGAAGACCAAGTAGCTTGCATTCCTGGATGATTCAGTGGATCTCCCCATTCTGACCTCAAGGTTCTTGTGATAAAGATCATTGTCAAGACAGAAACAAGGGGAATTATCCTTTCTCCATCCTTCTTGGACCCAGCTGCTAAATGAGTATCAAGGGGTATCTAGGGATCCAACTGTAAATGCACGTCATAAATCAAATATGGCAAATGGCAACATAGATATACCTTTTAGCATAGGGCCTGAACATTTAAGTATTGTAGACAGTGAGTAATGACTGTGAGCTCATTTACCACAAACCAAACATATCAGAACTGCCAAACTTCAACAGAGGATGTCCAAAAGAAAATTTGCCGCAGTTACCCAACAATCCTAGTTGAGCTAACATGGAAAGAATGTAAGTCTTTATTAGCCTCCTTTCAGGATTTAATCAGTGATTCATCTAAATTTAAACAAACACAAATTTCCAGTCTATTTAAACATTCTGCTACTCTTTCCAGGAAATTAGTGAAAACTCTCAACAAAACAGGGTTTAAAAGAAAAAGGGCTCCTATGAATTTTAAGTATGTTTGGAGGTCCAGGTAGGTGGATATGCAAAAGTATATATTTTCATGGCTAAAGGCAGAAAGCAGACTTAAGTGCAGAGATGAAATTACAGAAACTAAGCTTACAATTTTAAATCTGAAATGAAATACAGTCTCATGTTTCCTCAAATTTAGATTATGATCAGACTACCACTGCTATATAAAACGAGGAAATTCTGTAAGGATATTATTTTAAATTAAAGAACAAGGTCATCTCTTTAAAGAGGTGAGTGTTGTGAAAACATAAAGGGGGAAGGAAATGGAAGTTGAGGATAGTAATCCAATTCTGAAAGACTAATAGATAATGATCTGTAACATCCATTTGTTAGGCAGGACAGACCCCTGAGATACTTCAGTTGTCAAAGGTATCAAGGTAGAGTACGACCAATTAACCACAGTCCTCAGAGGCCCATTATGTACCCATTTTTCTACCTATATAGTTTTCCATACATTCAGAATGTAGTGTTGTAACTCTGATACATGAGTATTGTGGGACACAGTGTGGAAACCTTGCCAATGTCAAGGTAAATGATGTTCACTGCTCTCCCTGTGTCCACAAATCTAGGTTTTTTTTCATAGAAGGCAAACAGGCTGGTCAGGGATGATTTAGCTTTTGTAAATCCACGTTAACTGTTCTCAGTTACTTTCTCCTCCATGAGGCCAGGAATGTGTTCCAAAAGGACTTGTTATATGATTTTCCAAGTGACAGGAGAAAAGCTGACCATCTTATAATTCTCTGGCTTTTTTGGACTATTTTGAAGATGGGTGCAAGCTGTCTCAAAGAATCCTTGACTCAATCCTCGTCCACTGCTGGTGGTTCTTGAACCCTTTCACTAAAGAGAGAGGCTTAAGAAACCTTGGTGAAGACTGAGACAAATAAAGCATTGAACATCTCAGTCTTATCTGTCACTAAATCATCCATCCCATTCACCAATAGGACACATTTTCCTTAGTCAGCCTTCTACTACTAATGAAGTGGTAGAAGCTCTTGTTGCCCTTGATACCTCTTCCAAGTCTCATTTCCAGTTGCGAACTAGGGTTTGTGATTCTGATACTTCCTCAAATTGTTTAAAGAATGCTGCTTCCTTTCCCTCACCCTGAATGGGTGGTCTGTAACAAACTCTCACCATGACGTCACCCTTACCAGATTCTCCTTTCATCCTGTCCTGCAAGGTATCAACCAGATTGTCATCCATCCCATTGAAGAGCTCTATACATCTGAGCAGTTCCTTCACAGAGAAGGCAACACTCCTTGCTTTCTCTGCCTATCTTTCCCAAGGAACTTGTATCTGTCCAACACAGCACTTCTGTCATGCAGCGCAGGCTGTCCCACCAAATCTCATTCATTCCAGTAGTGTCACAGTTTCATGATTGCATGTGGAGTACTTTCTCCTGCTTGTTTCCTGAGCTGTATGTATTTGTGTACAGATTTACTTGAGGTGGTTGCTCTTATCTTATCTCTTGTTCTTGTCACCCTGCACCCTTTTCTTTTGACCTCATCCATCACCACTCACTTAAACGTGGGTTATAATCTCCCTCTCACATCATTCCTAAAGAACTCTTTCCATGTCCCCTTTTACAGCCAACATTGCAGATGCACCCAGCTCTTAATTTAAGAAGCCTACTTATGTGTACATCATAATGTAAATCTGAAATCCTAATTAAGCTGCTATCAGTGAAGATCTTGACATGTGTGATACCCTCAACATCACATATTCATAGCAAGAGACTGATTAAAAAGAAACATAAAATTCAAGATGATGACCAGGATATCTCTAAATATTTCAGGTATATTTATAGACAGTGTTATTCTACATTTCCAAATTAAGGATCTTTGCATACGCTTTCCTTGAAAGTATGAATTTAATTCTATAGCCAGATACTCTAGTTATACTAAAACTGTTATAACAGTTCCTATTTTTAGAAAGCTGTATCAGAGTGTTTGTATGCTGAATTCTAGAAATATGTGTCATTCAGACCTTCGTAACAAAACATTACCTAAACCAAAAAACAAACACAGCAAATTAACTGATTTAAAATGAAAATGCAATTTATTAAAGTGACAGGGATATAGAAGTTATATGTTTTTCTAACTATGGTTAAACTGAAATGTTTTATTTCAGAACATTTCTAATAAAGTCAAAGATCAGAAAGGCACTCATTATTTCAAGCAGAAACAACAAAAGTTAAGTACTCAGAAAATCACCATATAGCATCCATATATTAAATCAGATAGACATCTAACTGAAGATATTAAAAATTATGTCCCTCTGCATTACATCTAAACCTTTTCCTCCACACTCAGATGAAACACCTTTCTCAAAACTGTTGATTTACTACCCAGGTCTCTCAAAATCTTACCCAGAAAGTCTTTCAAAATATTCTTAGTCTTCATTTTGCTTTTAATAATTTAAAATTCAATCATTATTGCATAGCGATTATATGCAATTTTACATCCCATTAACCCTGCTTTGTTTTAATTATAAAGATCCTTTGTTAGATTCCTTTAAATGATCCAGTTTATAATTTCACGTTATCCTAGGGAGCACTTCAATTCAGCTGCACATTCATCAACTGTTTATGTCCTGTTAATTGTTGACAACTGCACAATTGTATTCTCTAGCGATGATTGATGAACTGCATTCACAAGTTTAGCTATTAAGCAGAATAAATATTTATAACAATTTCCAGTTAAAGTATTGTTATCTTTATCCCCAAAAGGGTAAATTAAAAACGGATGGACTGATTGCAAAGAAGAGTGTCCTAGTAATCCACACACACTTGTTCTAAAACATCTTTCTGCCAAAAGTATATGGAGGAAAATGTGTCTAAGCGCAGCCTGATTAGACTTTTCATTTGATTTAAGCAGCAGGTCTTAAATACTACTTTGTTTTGAAAAGTTACTGTTAGAGGGGAGTAGAGGGTCCACTGATGTCTTAACACCTGACTGCTAAAAATATGCAGATGTGGGATTTGTTCAGGAGGAGCATTTTATCAGTAGTGAGCATGCAATATCTGAACTCATTAGCCTGACTGAGAAAATAAAAAAGGTCAAAACGGGATCGTATATTACTATCAAAGAATATAAGCTTACTATAATTATTCAGTCTATTACCATGTAACAATTATTGTATAATGTGCAGTTCATGATCCACTCACATGGACCCTATAAAGGTGTAAACTCATATTGCCACTTCTTAGCAAGAAGAATTTCCAGTGAAAGGACTACATTTCCAACTGCTATATTCCAGTGTAACTTCAATGTGTGCAGGGAATCTCAGAGAACTTACACCAACCAAAAACTGGGTAATAAGCTACATGTTCCTCTTTTGCAGATACTCATATTCCTATGTTACTATTCTCTGATGTTTTCTAAATTTGCTTTTAACCGAATGCATGATTTAACCACTGAAATATCAGCTAGACAAAAAATACACTGTAATAAAGAGAACATTTGATACTTTACTTTGGTAATGACATACTATTGGTGAAAATGAGAAACCATACATAAAATGACATCTCTTCAACAGGTGTATTGCTATATTTTTTTTTTCTGCTGCACATATCAAGACATCTAGAGTCCAATGGATTTAATGTACTGGCCAATGTCCCACACATTACATAAGTGGCTTCTTTTGTCTTTGGCATTCCACTACCAGGTAGGCCAAAGAGTCCCCCTTTGCTACCCAGCTTGCTGGCTGGAAGTACTGACAAACATTGCACAGAGTACAAGATATAAACAGATACAGCATTAAAATTACTTGAGAATTGATAATAAAGTATCTTAACAATTTTCAAAAGCAAGGTAGCTCTTATAAACATAATGTCCCGTGTGTTTTACAGGACTCAAACTGGAGCAGAAATTCTATATAAAATAATTCCTCATGAACTGATAGTACAGAGAAGTGCATCTGTACAATGAAGGCTATGCTTCTAAAACAGATGGAGCAGCAGATGGGTTTACAGATTGGGCTCCCTGGCCTGTCTGGGTGAAACAACCTTGCTGCTCTAGAAAATGGTGGTTCAATTCTCAAATAAATGCAAACCTATATACAGTTCATGGGAGCTCTATTTCCTTCTGTCAATAAAACAAATTTTTCAGAAATTTCCAAATTAAATATTTACCATATAAAGTATCTATACAATAAACCTCTTAATTAATATGGCCTTTTCACAATTTTTTTGGAACAGATGGTGAGGAAGTGTTATCACCCAATGGAATAAATGCAAAATGACTACTTGTTCAAAAGCTTCAAAATTAATTACCTTCCTTCATTGATGAGCTCAATAAATGCAAGTCCTGCATTCTTCTGAATAGAATTTTGCCATTCCTAAGAAGATAAAATATAACATGATCAAAACCCAAGGATTTTAAACCACATTTCTGAATTTGACCCTGATGACTTGCTAAGGAGCTTGAATTTAGGCTGAACTTCTTAATTTAATGCTTTTCTTTAAAAAAAAAAAAACACAACTAATAATTCAAAAAACCTGTAATTCATTCTGACTTTCAAATAAACTTTAGGTGGTTATGTTTTCTGCTTCACCTTTAAGCAAGCTTTAGTTTCCTTGTCTAGAGAACATGAAAACACATCTTGTTTCTTCAATTCATACAGTTGCCCAATGAACATATTAAGTGTAAGAAAGTATGGCAGTAGCAGTTTCTTCACGTTTCTTCACTGTTACGCCTTGTACATTTTATCATATAGAGCAGGCAATAATCTGTGTACCATCCATCCCTCCTTGAGTTCACTCTTTGTTTCTTCCCCATTATAAGTAAAAAAAAAAAGTTGTTAATAACAGAGCTTTAAAAATTCTTTTACTATTAACATGTATTTCCAAGATAAACTTTTGAAACTGATTTAAACCACCTAGTAGATATTAAAAGATAACAACTTTTACTTCATATACCACTAAGTTAAAGAGAAAATTCTCAATGCATCACAAACAGCTTTTGGCCATACAAACCACTGCCTCCATCACACCAACAGACTTTTGATACCTGAGATTAAAAAAGGCTGAGATCTCTCTCTAGCAAGTAAAGATTATATTCTTTTGGGATAATTTCTTAAAAGTTTTCTTAAAGAGTAATAAACAATTCTGTTTCATCATACAGAAAAAAATAAAAACACATTAGCTGGATTACAGTTGAGAGAGAAATTTTCTCGTCTGTGACTTCATGTTATAATCAAAAGTTACAGAACTATTCTACTTTACATTTCCTTTTTTCCAGGACTATAAAATCAGGCAGAAATTCCCAATGCTTGTTTCCTGGTATGGGCAAAAAAGATGTATTTACACAGATAAGGAAATTTTCTCAAAGAATAGTTGTGAAAACTTGTCACTAATCAGCAAGGTGCCTCTTACTGACCCTATGAAAATTCACAGATTTGACCAAGTCATGCATCTTAAAAAACCAAAAAGACAATAATCTTCTACTCATGGTTGGTTTTATAAGAGGCAACCTACTAAAATATCCAAATAATAAACATATTAACCCATTACTGAGCATGTAAGTTCTGATTAGAGAAGATGGAGTATCAGAACTCAAGCCTTGAGCTTGTGGGCTAGAAAACCATTGTAACAGGTTCCTTTCTTCAGTGCTGTTGATTTTGTTCTTTTCCAAATTCAGTAATTGAAGCAAGCCTAATGATCTAATTTCTGGAAACAATTAAATCACCTTGGTATAGTACAAAGTCACTCTGAGAAGCTAAGAAGGAAAGGACTCAATTGCCTAAACATAGGCACCTCGTGCCATTTTAAAAAACAATAGTCTGTGTTAGAAGTAGTATTTGAGGTGTAGCATTGTTTTTTTCTTTAATCAGAGCCTTTTACTGTACACTATAAAAACTCCTATTAGCATTTTTATTTTGAGATGCTTTTCTGCACCACAGCTGCTATGACTCTGCAGTCAGGAAACCAGAACTGGTGTGCCTCGAATTCAGGAACAAAGTTGAAAAGAGAGTTAAAAAAAAAAAGGCTTCCTAAGATTGCTTAGAAGAAAGCATGCTAATTAAATTTTTAAAGAGAGACAGAGGGTCTATCTGTGTCTGCAAAAGACCAAGAGATTCTTGCAAGTCTTTTGTCAGATCTTGCTGCTCAGTGCCAATGTATCAGATACTGTAGAATATCCAAAATGGCTAACTAGATTTTAGGCGAGATATCTTAAGGTACCTAAAAAAATTTAGCTATCTATGTGGAATCAAACAAATGTCTTCTTATGTCTCCATATGTGGAAAATCTCATCAATTTATCCCAGCTAATTATTCACAATAAAAGTGTGTGAAATCTGCCCAAATATCTACCAAAAAGTAGTGGAAAACATACTGATACAGATCCAGAAAGAAACCAGGATTCATTGCATTGCTTCACCACAAACTCGCTACTGCAAGCATCACTGCAAACTCCCAACCCTCTGTTAATCCACAAATAAGGGAATAATTTTTACTACAACAATTTCCTCTCAATTTTAGGCATATTTTAATATAACAGATCTGACACAATATCTTTATAACAAAGGAATACCGATTCCCAGAGTTTCCATAATTTAGATGTGAGTTCTCACCCTTTCCAATTTCTGCAAGGAAGTTAAAAATTGTGTCACAAATTACAAGTTTCTCAACAAACGGCGGTTACTGAATGGACAGATACCTGCTGTAGTAATCACCGTACCATTCTCCTTCCAGTACAGGTGGCACTGTCTCAATCAATTCTAGCTTCTTTGGAATTCTCTCTTCTCCGTGTCTTAAAATATTCTGCGTATTTTTTTCTTTTTGTCATATTGAATATTTATTGAATTTTCTTGTCTAATATATTAATAACTCAGTTGATACCTCAATTCTGCAATCACTGTATTTTAATCATAACTTCTTGAGACAGATGAAATTCTATTATATTGACTTTTCTTTCTGGACTCTTAAATATATTTGGAGAAAAATCATGTACAGAACTGAATAGGTGCTACCTTTTATCAGGATAAGGAAGAGGAAAGTGTATAAAAATGTGTTTGCAATTCACAACTTGTATGTAATTTAGTTTGGGTTTGAGCTCTGTGTTGTGAATTTACCTTCTAAAATCACCAATAACTTGCTTTACTTCATTTAAGAGGAAAGATTCAAAGGATATGTTACAAGATTGAAGGAAATGTTTTTTTAAGGCAGGAAACCATGTCCATTAGAAGTGGGTAAAAACAGAAAAACGAACTGATTTCAAGATATAGCCTCATAAATTTTTGAGCAGATTACTCATTAATTTTTGAGATTATACAGTTTTTAAGATCACAGGACTCTCCCTAGCAATCCTAGAAGAATTGCGCTAAATATATTGGAGTCTTAAAACCTTCCACTATTGTTTGGAATGAGAATCAGATCTAAGAACGCCAATTTTACTGCCTTTATCCTTCTCTCACACTCACATGTATACTGTTGATAGATGATAAATAAAATGTATTTTTGGTCTATTCTTTCAAGTAAATTTGGGATCAATTTTAGGATTTTATGATAGGTCATCCATTTTAAAAGCGACCATTTCCCACAATAAGGAAGTTGCAGAATGACTGACGACATCCTCCTGGAAGGCAAATCTGCAAGTATTGGAATACACTGGGCTTCTGGCCAAATCACAGAAAAGAAAAGAATGTGAAACTTTCACAACACTATTTATGTGAATATGACTTTAACAATGCAGCAAAGGTAATAAGCAGTTTTAGATTTCACTTTCACAAGACTAAAGCTTCATTTTTCCTCTATTTTCTTGACTTGGAGTAATATGTTAATTTTTTGTTTTCTTGGAAACACATAGACCTGTTGCCCTTCTGATCACCTGTGGTAATTGCTCAATTTATCTTGAAAATGATGTCAAATGTTCCCAGAGGAACATGTCATTGGTATCTTAGAAGAAAAGAGGAAAAAGATTCCACAACTGCAAAAACATTTACATTATCCGAACAACACTAGGGAAACGACCAAATTTATTTAGATGATACAATATTAACCTTAATCACCTTGTAGAAAGTCTGCGTATCTTCTAATAGAGACAGAGATATGTGCTAGAAGATACACACATCTCCATAACTTCTAGAGCTTCCTTCCTGACTGGAAAAATGGTTCTTCATTTAAGAGACACTCAATTTATTATTAACAACATATGTTGCTACGTATGGCTATTAATCCTAAAGGCCAGTCCACTTATTACTCAATGAATTTTTTATTTTAGAGGTGGATAACGAATTTGAAGTCTTCCAAAATGCACCATTGAAGAGAAGACTTTTCGATGTGCAAAAAACTACTCCTCACATTGCCTCCATTATATACATAATGATACCCCCCCAACTATGGTATATTTATCAATAATGATGGCACCCTTTCTCAGCCCTTTAAGAAATACCAGCTGACTCTTTCTGACTTTTTAGGTGTTTTCCTCTAAGATCCTTCTCAGTTGTAGGCAACTTAATAGAGAACTCAAGGGAAAGACACATTGCCATATTAGGATATGGGGAAAGTAATTACAGTTTTCTGATCCTGCTTGTTTGGCAATGAATCTAGGAGGTTCAGAACAGCATCTCATTGATGTGTAATAAATGTACTCTTTGACATTTTTTGACAAAAATACCCTGATAAGGACAGGCAAGAGAAAGGACCAGAAGTTCCATGGTGACTCTGGTGTAAGATATTGAGGAAGAGATCCTACTTATTACTAAAGGCAAAACACTACAAAAGTAGTTTTCTGAGTGTACAGGGAGCTGGAAGGGCATCTCACGGAATAATCAAGAAAGTAAAATTGCCCAACAAGTAGGAAAGAATACACTGATGGTTTCCATTTGAAAGTTAGATTATCAGAAGCAGATGGCACAGAGATGAAGACTGAAATTGGTCTGGAAGACATTCCACACATGGACAAGGAAGTAATGCAAGAAAATTCTGACACCACTTTAGCGTAAAAAAAAGATAATGCAAAATGGTCATCTTTTGGAAAACTTCCAGAATTCTATAAAGCAAGTGAGAAACACTGGGGAAAAGCGCCAAAAACAACAAAAAACCCCCAACACAACCAACAAACCACTTAATTTCTAGAGCAAAAAATATAAAGGAAAAAGTTTTCTACTCCCCCGGTAGCTCATACTGGAGTTCATTTCTGGTTTTGGAAATTACACTGTGTGTATAACAACCTATTTGTGTATAGGCCATGTTCTGGATTATGAAGAGCCCCTAATGAACACCAGAACATAAGTACGTGGTTAAGGTGTATCGTATTTGATAATGGATAAGAACACAGTAGAAATGTTGTTTCTCTCTTGCTGGACATTACTATAGTGCAAAAAGGATGACAGTAT